TATATATATATATATATATACACACACACACATATACATACACACACGTATATATGTAATGTATATATATATATATATATATGTATGTATGTATACACACACACATAGTTGGGTGAAGGGTTGAGTGGTGTCAAGATATTTACATAGAAGGTATATGGTAGGGACACACAAAAAACCACTTCCTTCTGGTGCTTGCTATTTTTTCTCTCTTTGTATACAAGATTTCTCATACCTCTTTCTAAAGACATATACCATACTCCCTGCACTGTTGTCCAGTTGACCCTTTTCTGCTGGACAAAATCAGCTTTTGAATTAAAATTAAATTTAAAATTACCTTTCTCTAACATTTGCCATTAGGCACTTCTCTTGGATGTAGTGCTTTATACTTCTATACAGTGTTTTATTTAATTTTTTATTCACCGAAGGTTTGGTTCTTCAGTCTCTGTAATTCTTCAGAAATCTTAGCACTTTTATGATTTAGACCTAACATACCTATGCTGATGACTTTCATTTTTTGTCATCTTTTCACTGAATTCTAGCTATTTTACTAGCTTATAATTATACTAAACTTTTATATATTCATAAATCTAGTAAAGATATTAGGACAAACCATATGAAATTACTGTTTTTATATGTCAAAAGTGATCATATATTCGCAATTTCATGTACTTGAGCCTAATTAAAAAATGATGGGGGCTGGGTGTGGTGGTGCATGCTTGTCATCCTAGCTTTTGGGAGGGAGAGGCAGGAGGGTCACCGTGAGTTCAAGGCCAGCCTGGGCTACATAGTGAGTTTAAGGCCAGCCTGAAATATAATAGCAAGACTCTGAAAAATCCAAAAAAAAAAGGGAGAGGGTATAGTTTAGGCAGAGTGCTTGCCTAGCATTAACATGCACAAGACCCCAGGTTTTATCCCTGGCACCTCATAAAAATCTCATTTTAATTTTTATATGTACATTTAACATTGCAGAACCTTTTGATGGAACAAATACAGCCAGAGCTGTGCATGAAAAGCAGAAGTTTGACATGATCAAAGATCAGTTTTTAAAGGTAAACAGTGCATCAGATTAACTTTAGAAACATTAGTGAACTAGTGTGCTTTGAAAATGGAGAAGGGGCTAGATGTATGGCTCATTGGTAGAATGCTTGCCTAGCATGTGCAAGGACCTGAGTTTGGAGGAAAAAATTTTATGTAATCAGATAGGATAGTCCTGATTTGTAAGTTTTGAAATCATTAACACAGTAGGAATTCATTGCCTGACATTAGATATACTTTTCCTTCAGAGAGAACTAGCTGTTTTCACTCATACAGCTTTTGCTTTTGTGGAAATAAACATTTTTATAGGGATTAAAAACTCCCAAAATGATTGAATAAAACTTAATGGACTCTTTTCTTTCCTTGAAATATCAAGAAATTTATTATAGTCTTGGAAGGAAGCTGAAGTCAAATTCATGTTTTTCCTTCTTTATACCTTACTGTTACAAGGAACTGTAGTGCTGTTTTATCTTTACTATTTTGAAAAGTTAAACAATATTATACCTGTGTTTATGTCCATGATACGAACTTATTCATCAGTGGTTTTGCTATCTGAGGTCCCTGTCTTCAGGGAATAGAAATGTAGTGTAGTATGAGACAGGAGGGATTGCTTCAGAGGAGAAAAGGACCAGAGAACTAAGAAGTTCATTTTAGAGGCATAGCTTTTCATTATTTAGTCATACAAGTGGATTTTACTGTAATAGCAGTTAAAAATATAAGTCTTACAAACTATCCTTCAGATTAGGCCTTGAGTGCTTTGTTTAGTGGTATATACCTGTAATCCCAGCATTTTAGGAGTAGGAGGCAGGAGCATTGCAAGATCCATTCTTGCTTGCGCAATTTAGCAAAACTGTCTCAAAAAAGGAAGAAAAAGAAAAAGAAAAACATCGGCTTTCTCAGTTTGTCATTCAGAATAGAAAAATTTGACCTGCAAATGTAGAATTTTTAAATAACATTTTCTTTTCTGTTTTGAATTTCTTTCTCTCCTAGTCATTTCACAGATTGAAAAACAAAAGAGATTTGAACAGTATACTACCTTTAAGAACTGCTCTCCTGAAAAGATAACTGACCTCTATTTCTTAAATTCTTCTGAGAAATAAAGAACAAGAGTTACATCATAATACATTTTGTTTACTTCCATCATGGTTTCTTTTTAATTGTTCTTGTTTTCATGTTTTATTTTTAAAAGGACATACTTATATAAAGATTGCATATTTTATTATGATATTTCTTAATAAAAATCTTTTGATTTGAATATATATTTTTGAAAATGTTTACATTGATGATTAATAATATTATGGCATGAATTTTCAGGTGATCAAATAAAATATATTTTGGGAAATTACCCGAACAGATTTTTTATATAACTTTAATTAACTGTATTCACACTCTAATATTGAAGAGTTGTGTTGAATTTTGGAAAGGGTTTAATTCATCAAACTTAAAAAGTCACCTATAGTAGATGGTTTGTTGTCTGTGTTCTAGTGAGGTGGAGATTCAAATCTTTTTTTTTTTTTTAAGCACAATAAAATTTTTTATCTCAGTGAAATCACTTCAGAGTCATGAAATACTGGACCGTTACTTCTTCACTTGCCTCCCTGGAATAGACTTGAGGCTTTGGCTGTATCTGTATAGCATTTCATGAGTGCTTTCTGAGCTTTGGACACACTATTGAGATTGCTTTACATTTTATGTAGCAGCAACAATACATTTTGCCCTGTAGTATGGTAATGTGAGCACTTAAGGCAATCACTGAACTGTTAGTGAGTTGTTTCAAAGACTGAAAAGATTTAAGTCTCCTGTGCTTTATGATGGAGTGCAATGTGCACTTCTATTTTCCTGCTTTTATTTGGCCTGTGACATGAAGCAGAAACTGAAACATCAAAGTTAAGATTACATCCTATTTGAAGAATCAGCATTTTTTTTTGTGTGTGCTGTTACAGGACTATAATCTAAACTAGAATTTTTAGGCAATAAGTCACTACAAAGTGTTTCAGGTAAGTTGTAATAATTATAAAACACATAGTTTATAAAATACCTTTTTTAGTATTTTCCACATGAAGTGGTGGCTGCTAAAAAAGCTACAGTGTTTATTAAAGTTTTTAATTTATGTAAATATTTGTAAATTGGTCAGTGCCTGTAAATTTAAATATAAAAAATAATCTTGAAAACAGGAGGAGTTAAAAGGACTGCAAACTTCTTTCAGACCTACTGTAGAACAGTCTGTACCTCTACTGAATTTTTTGCAGGCCAACTCAAAAGCTAAAACTTTTGCTTTTCTTTGATTTATAAAAGGTGCATATTTTCATTTTCTTAAGTTTAAATTTTTGTATGTCAAATAGAATAAAGTTTGTATATGGAAATTGTTGAGGTGTTTCCTTTACAATGAAAGTCTGCTTTTGCAATGAGATTGAGGCCGTAGTTATCAGCTAGAACTAATTGAATCCATTTGTCATGCTTGATTATTTAGATTAAAACAGTCGATGAAATTAAGTTCACTTGTCAAGCTAACTAGTCAACACCCCATTACTCTGGAACGTTGTTCTGCAAAGGTGAATTTTACTTATGTATAAAATACTGTACTTTGGATACAGTTGTTTTTTATATGAATTTTTTTCTTGGAAAAGTCTAAATTTATTGTGCATTGTGAAACCGTCAGAATGTATTGAGTATAATTGATATTCTAGTGATGAGTCTTGGTGATCACCTGAATAATATCCATAGTATTGTGCAAGTAGTACTGTGCAGGTCTCAGGGATGGGTAAGAGTGGAGGGTGCTCTCTCCCCTTACCATATTGACATTTCCTAATAAAGCTCAGAATTTATCACGGTGTGGACTCCTTCACTGCCACTCTTCTCAGCTTTCAGTGCCCCTATTCTTAATACTATTTTTTAGCTGATTCTAACAAATAGGTAAAGAAGTTAACCAGCTTAATTTTAAACCATTGACTGACACAAGATTATGCACTTTGTGACAGTCCAAATATGTCAGATAAGTGCATTGTTAGTATATGAGAGAATTGTTTAGGCTTATTTTCCATCTCATTTATTGATGAATACAAAATCACTATATTTTGTATCATTCTGCATTTCTATTATATTTGTGCATATTGTTACTGTTAGAAAGTTGAAGGTATGCACTTTGGCACTGTTGAAAATTTGTATTGATTTGAACTAGGGTCTTTGCAGATCTTGTAGCTGTTATGTTCCTAAGAATTTTTTTAGTTAAATGGAAGAATCACAATAGCTCCCTGTAGTTTTGATTAGTATTTAACAGATTCTCACAGTTGGGATGGGATTCTTGTACTTGGGGAGCATGGTCGTTTTGGATTGCTGATGGAAAAATGTAGCTGGTGTTAAAAGAATGAATATTGCTGCTGTTTAACCCGGGTTAGTGAAACCTGGAAGGTTGGACTTCTCTTTTTGCTTCTTATGCCCACAACTGTTGCTTCTGCTGTATCCAAGTTGTCTGTACTTCCCTGTCCACAGACCTAATGTATGGATGGATAAAAGGGAATGAAACACCCAGCCTCCTTTCATCACATCTAATGTTATAACTAAAAATAAATGTTTTCTGTCCTACCTATAAGGTCATTCTCATAAAAAGAATGCCTTTCTGCATTATGAGAATTCCTCTGCCTGTTGTGCATACTCAGCAAGTATGTACAGCATATCTGGTTGCCTTCAGGAAGCATTCATCAGGCTTCTGTGAGGTGCTAGGTGCTAGGTGCTAGGTGCTTTGCCTGTTTATGGGCTTGTATGGGCTGCGGATGGCAGGACAAAGGTGAGTAATTTACCATTGAGTTTCCTGGGCTGATGTAGACCGGGAGAGAGGAGACCTGAGCTTAACCTGAGGACTATAGAGAAATGTGACCAGGAAACTATGGATGGGAAGAGATTTTTCAGGCAGAAAGAATTGTAAGCAGAGTGACCTGATGGGATGCTGGGATCCCTGACTACTAAAGAAGGGGCCAGATAGAAAGGGTGTGGGCTTTTAGGCCCGAGGATCTTGGACTTCAATGCTTGGTCTTTGGGAAGCCAGTGAGGGGTTTTGGCTTTACAAGATGCGGTGAGACTGAGCTATGGAGAAAACAGCCTTTGACTAAGGTGAGGTTAAGGTTATGGATAGTTTCTGGCTGACCAACTCGGGCTACTGAAGAGAATGTGGTTTTTTGCCTTGCAAGTGTGGAGGAAGCCCTTACAGAAAAGTGGTGCAGAGCTGAGCCTTAAGTTAGGCAGTTGAGTGCAGTTTCTCCAGTCTCCTCACTAAAAGTGAGACAGTAGAGCTCTTCTGAGGACACCCCTTTGTAGGGATAGAGCAAAGCCTCGGGCAGAGTGAGCGATTGAAGGCAGTGAGCCTCCACTCAGGAAGGGAGGGTTGGGACAAGGGTCCTTCAAGTAGCCCCGAAGAAGTAGAAGACTGGCTGTGGAGAAAGGAGGTGGACCATCGCCAGCCGTCCAGCTCTGAGGACCCACACCTCCTGCTGGGAGGGGAGGAGGGGAGGCCGGGCTGTCGCCAGCCCTGTGGCGAAACTTTGTCGCCTTCTATTTCGAGTGGCCGGCCGCCCGCCCCCGCGGCGGGAACCCGACCCGCACCAAGCGGCAGAGCAGTCGAGGGAGAACACCCGGCAGGCGCAGGCAGCCTCCGCGGACAGCTATGGCAACCTGGCACGGACACGCGGACGGCGACCAGACGGCGGCTTGGGAAGTGGAGGACGCCATGGAAGAGACCGTGGAGGAGTCGGAGGTCGAGGGGGAGGAGACGGCGGCCGAGTCGGAGTCGGAGGAGTCGGAGTCGGAGCCGGAGCTGGAACCTGAAGCCAGGTGAGCTCCTGCAGAGGCTCGCTTCCAGGCCAGGCGCCGCCTTTTCAGGGGGCGCGGAGGTGGAGATGCTGGCCCGTGGGAGGGCGGCCGCTGGCAGAGTTCATCCCCACCACACTGCCCAGCGCCTAGGCCCTTGCACCCTGAGATATTCTTGGAGATTGGCTTGGGGTCCTGCCCGCTGCAGAGCTGTGCTGGAACGTACCCATCTGCCCCGTCTGGGCCAGCGGGAAAGAGCGGAGGACACAGGCAGACAAGGCCTGGGTCTTTCCAAGTGGGTGGCAGTGTCCTGGGCGACTGGCACTGGCTAGGTTGCTGTAAGAAGACTTTGATACACAGACTCATACTTTTTTTTTTTTTTTTTGAAAAAAGAAGCACGAATTCCAGTAACTTGTGTTCTTATATTCCCGCTCATTCCAAATACCTTTTCAGTGAATATGAATGTGATTACTATTATAGAAAAAGATTACTGTCTTCCCTCCTGGATCTTCTCCCCCTTGATGTAGGCCCTAAAATGAAGATACTAGGAATTCTTTCTTTTTGGATTTTTTTCTACTTTTGGCTTTTTTTTTTTCTTTTTGTGCTGCGATTTGAACTCAGGACTTTGCTCTTGCCCGGCAGGCATGGCACACTAATCTAAATCTCTGGCTCCTACTATTGGTTTTTTAAGACAGAGCTTCACTATGTGGTTCAGACTGGCCTTGAAATCTGAGCAAACTTCCTGCCTCAGCCTTCTAAGTGCTAGAGTTACAGACATGCACCTGTGGAAAGGTTTTGAAGGTGGCAGATGGGTGTACCATTTTAGAGTACGCTCTAAAGGCCAACAGAGCTCTAAGGCCAACCAAGGCCAACAGAGGTGAAGTTGAAAAAAGCCTCCCATACAATGGCATCAATGAGGGTGAATGGTTAGTCAGGTGCAAGTCTTGAATATCAGCCACATGTTTACAAGCAATTACCAAGCAGGAAACAGGCACTGCCTCTGCCCTGGAGAACTGTGTGGGAAAAGTTAGTGAGGAATATGGGAGTATAAGACTGTGCTGAAGAAGTTAGAGAAGGATAAGCCATGTGTACTGTGCAAGGCCAGAAGAAAGGTAGCTGTAGCTGCCTTGGAGTAGAGGATGTGATTTGGGTGTTAGAAAATGGGCAGCAGTTGCTTGAGGGAAGAGCAGAGGAGGAGGCACTCAGGAGTTGAGAAACAGGGAGTAGGGGGCCAGGGATTCCTGGGCCATTTGAGAAGGGTAAGTGTCAGCACAGCTCTATAACCTTCCTCATATTGGTGTCTGGGGTGCTCACATCCTTCCCAGCCAAGATTTCCCCTCAGGAAAAATCTGCAAACTCATTTTCACCAAAATGTGAGCAGCTGCCAATTGAAAGCACCACTTTGACATCACATAGCCCTGTGACAAAGGGCATGACCTGAAGGTCAGGAAATGATTTATCTGTTGGGCCTGCTCTGAAATAGATGGCAAGGTCAGAATTAGCAGAGTGAGGGAAACATGAAGGCAAATGGTGATGAAGGGAAAACTTTTGGGTTCCTAGCTTTTTATTTAATAGATGAGTAACAAGGAGCCAGTAGAACTTGTGAACAGGATTTAGGAGAGCAGACAGCAGGAGATATCAGCAGAAAAGTAGGCTGACAGGCAGGTGGGGAAGTGGGTTCCAGGAGGGACCAGGGAGGCAGCAGCACAAAAAGCTGCTATCTAGAGGTGGGACCATGGTGGGTGCTTGGGGAAGGGACTCTACCTGTGGTTAGACCTAGGGAGAGGCCAGCAGGAGTCGTTGGTCACCCCAGCTGCAGGGTGTGGTCAGTAATCAAACCACTTCACTGTGTGTGAGTTCACAAACATGTTCTTCTGAGATCCAAGGTGAGTGAGGATTTGGACTCTTCCAAAAGATAGAAATGAGAAGTACATTGTCATCTCCACCCCTCCTGCCATGCTCTTGCACCAGACCATCACAGTGAGAAGAGGGCCATTCTCTTGGCACTGGGCACAGTGCTCAACCCTTCCCTACATTTCTCACGTCAGCCCCTCCAAGAAGTTCTGTGCAGTGACTGTCCTGCGAGACATGAGGACCCTGGAGCTTTGTTTCATTTCCTGGGGTCATAAAGCAAGGAAATGCTAGAAGCAAGATGTGGGCCCTGGTCTGTGTCCACCAAGCTAGTGGACTGTCCCTAACCCCTTCCTCACTCCAGGTGTAGCTGGAATGGTTTCTCCTGTAAAGGATTAGCCGAGGACAAGGAGAGACCTCAGTCTTCCTCCTCCTTGATGGAAAGTTGTCTACATTTCCTCAGTGGTCAAGACCATCTTCAGAACTTGCACTAACAAACTGATCATTTTTTTAGAATAAGGGACACAAAAAAGTTAAAATATAATGGCTATTCTCTTATTTGGTTATTAAAATTTGTTTTATTTTTTATAAAAAGCTATAAAAATAGTATTTTTGAAGATTCTAATGATATGGAATGTACCTATATTGAATTTTAAAACATAGTTTAGTATGATGCCAACCATAAAGTAAAAGATGTACTAGAAAATGTCTTAGGTTGATAAAAGCAAACAACATAGTTAAAAAAAGGTTAATAGTGGTTGAGTAATGGGATAATCACTGATTAGAATTTTTTTCTTTACGTAAAAATTTCAGTTTTCTACAATGAGCATTAACACATTTTGTTACTAGGGAAATAATAAACTTTACTTTAAAAAGTTTCTGCTTATAAACTTTTCATTTACCCTCCCAGGTATAATATGTAGAATTAGCTATAGCTACCTTTCTTTGAATAATTTAGAAGGGATGTTTCGTTCAATAATGGACTATTTCTGGGGTGCATGGACTACTCATGGTGCTAGAGATCACAAGGTAATGAAAGGCCCTTGCTGTCCTCAAGGTGTTCATCTCCTGAGTGGAGAAACAGAAACACACTGTGCCATTAACTGGTAGAAGAGATGGGGAAATAAAGGTGTGTACGAAATGCCTGAAAGTAAAGAAAGCTGTCTGCAAGGGCTTGAGAGGACTTCGTTTTGGAGCAGGGTTCTGAATTATCATGGAATGCCCCACAGGGCTGGTGGTTTGTGAGTGCCAAATTACATTTTTCTGTTGCTAAAATTTCACACAAGATCGTATGTAAATGGAAGATTTATAAAATCCCTAGGGTATTAGAGCTGGAGAGGCTTTAGACTTATTTCAGCAGTTGTTTTATAGATCCAGAAATGGAGTGTCAGGACTTTTTTTTTTCAAAGTCACACAACTTTTTAGTGGAAGAATTAAGGCTAGATCTTGGGTGTCTGGATTCAATCTATGGTCATTAATTTATTTATTCAGTAGATATTTATTGAACGCTTCTGATGTGCCAGGCACTTGTGAGGGAATTGACAGTGGACGAAAAGAACAAAATCCCTGCTCTCCTGACACAGACTTTCCTGTTTCGGAAGACAAATAATTGTACAAGTAAAGAAATATGGGCTATGTTGGGTGACCAGAAGTTATATGAAAACTTGTACAGCAGAGTACAGATCATGCTGTTTGGGTAGGGGGCGACATTTGAGTATAGGTGAAGCAGTGCATGTTCTAGGCCAGTGGTGGCAAATCTATAGCATGTGTGCTGCAGTGGGCTGTTTGTTATCCTTGAAAGCTCTTAAGGGCTTGCCATGACAGTTCTAGGTCATGGCATGAGCAGACAGGGGCACCAAGGCAGGAAGGTGTAGCCAGTTTGCTGGAATGCTGGGCAAAGAGGAGGGTGGGCAGAGCTGATTCTTAAGAGACACCTGGGTTGTAGGTTCATGTAGGTCAAGGTGACAACTTTGAATCTATTCTGAATAAAATTTGAAAGCTATGTTCTGTCTACTACAACACTCAGGATTAAAAACAAAGCAAGATTATTTTTTTTTTTTAAAAAAAGGGGATTGCAGTGTTCCTTTCACTAATAAACACCTCTACATTCAGATTTTCCTGCAACTCCCCTTCACTGGACATGCATCATGGACCATGTGTCAGTGCTAAGTATGTCAAACTCAGGGTCTCCTGTGTGGCAAGAGGTACATAAAAAGACACATTTGTTTGTGTGTGTATTTTTTTTTTTTTTTTTTTTTTTTTTTTGCTACTGGGGATTGAATTTAAGACCTTGATGCTTGTGAGTCAGGAGGCAGCACCACTGAGCTAAATACCCAGCCCATTTGTGTTTTTTTTTGACTTGTATTTTTCTGAGTGTAGACCTATGAAACTCAACTATTTTTAGCCTGTTCCACAGATCACTTAGAAACTTTTTCTCATTTTTGTTTTGAATTGATCTCTTTTGCCAAGTTTAAATTCTCTAAGCTCAGATGATTTTTGCAACAGTGGTACCTAAAACTTAAAAATCACCTTCACCTGTTGCTTTGCAGGTGCCTATGTAAAATGTCTGTCTAAGCTAACAGAAGTAAAATTATTAGTAGCATTCACATTTAATTAATCATAATAGGATATAAACATTTGGAATGCAAAGTGAGTTCGTACTATCTTATATTATCAGTACAGGGCACTCTGTTTCCATTTATCTATTTATATGGTATCTCTCCCTGATGTGCTTATCTAGGGGTTTTGACAAGTGTGTTATTTGAGCCAGAGTCTTCTGAGGTCAGTGGAAAAAGCTGGGGATGGGAAGGGTGATTGACTGCTGAGGGTGCCAGGCGCTAAGGGAGGAGAGAGGAGAACACAGAGGCACTTAAAGCCAGAAACTGAAGAGCTATTTAAGTGTTGGTTGCATGGATATTACATGTCCTTGGTAAGACTTTGATTCAACATAGAAGAATATAACAAGAGTTGGAGTTATTATTTTTTCTTTAAAACAGTAAACCTACTAAAGTGTAAGATATATTGACTGATAGATCTAAAAACATAAAAGGAGTCTTAATGTTTCTGGGCTTTTCTGGACACAGGCCTAATGAGTACCTTGTCTTCATTCAGGTATTATAACCAAATGTCCCTTCTACCAAGACACATATAGAATTAGGTACAAAAGAGTAGAT